TTGTTTTAACTGAAGTATTTTTTTATACTGCACGAGTGTATTTATTTATTTACATACCAGCAAACAGCACTAACCCTATTTACAGGGTACGTGGTGTGTTAAGTAGGCACTGATATGTTTTATTTGCTGCCCCTCTCACCAGTACATGACTCTGAGTATTGCTGCCAAAGTCAATGAGAGAGCTGGCAAGGCATCCACCGGCCTCTCTCCTTAACAAGGCTGGAGAAAGACAGTCGGGGCTTAGCTATCTGTCAAAACTTGCTCAGCTTTGCTGCACGTGCTACACTCCCTCTGGCCTGCTTCACCACAAACCACCCCTGGCTGCCTGTTGTGGTCAACTGCTGTTCAGGCAGACCCAGATCAGCTGAGGTACCTGGCAGATACAGAGGGAGAAGCAGGTGTGATAGAACTGGATTCTCCTGTTGCTATACCAAAAGGGGACTGAACAGTGAGAGAAGAAATAAAGCAGCCTCTTTTTCTACCTGCAGGTGCTGGGCAATTGATATGGAAATGCGATTTGGTGACGCTGCTAGAATTTTTACTGTGATTTTTCTAAGAGAGGGAGAGAAAGCTTCAAAGGAAGATGTGCGTTTTAGGAAGCGTGTGAATTGGGTTCCTCAGTCCTAGTTCCCCCCCCCTCTCTCCCCCAATTTAAATCTGATAAACCCATCAAAGAATAGCAGCTGTATTTCAGAGCAGAACAAAATGTATTATTTTGCCATAGACTAACGTATTTCAATAAGAAGCTATCCCTGCCTGCCCCGAATCTGTTTTAAATAGAACCAACTTTTAAAAAGCCAATACTTTTTTTAAATTTTTTTTTTTATTAATTTCAAAATAACCCCCCCATACAAATATAAACATACATTAATACAACTTCAATATTATTAATTTTAACATACAAACATAAACATACATTAATATTACAAAACAGCCCGGCAACCCCCCCCTCCCCGCGTCCGCCCTCTTTCCTCCTCCTTCAACCTCCCTACACATCCCACCTCCTTCCCTCTCCTCTTCCTACGGACACGGTTTAGAGCGCATCCGCCCTCTTTTCCACTACCTACCTACTTCCCTCCTATCTCTCTTCTCCTCTTGCTCTCTCTCCCTTCGGACACGGTTTAGGGGTGCCGATCGAGCGCCTTCTATATTTCTCCATACATCAATACTCCTAATTTAATACTCATTTCTACATTAATCATTAATGCTCATAATTATTTTATCTCTATTTCTACCCCCCCTCTCCCCCCCCCGGACTTCCCAGAACTGATTACAGGGTTAAACACACATCATCCCAAGTCTAAATATTACTACCCAAATGTAAAGCAATCAAGTATAAACCTACTTTAACTCAAATAAAAACAATCAGGTATAAGCATATATATATATAAACTCTAAACATATAATCTATCCATCTTCCCTAAACCCAGATATCTTAAAATTAATCTTTGCCATTTCTACAAAATAAAAACAACCAATCATCTTGCTACTATTCATTTCTTAATTCAAATCTTCCGTAATCCCCAATAAAAATAGTTACAAAGTAAACTTTATCTATCACTTAAAAACCTATTAAATTTTCCACTAAATCTTAATCCAGCAAATTATGTATTCCTTCAAAAAAGCCAATACTTTTTTTGTTGCCATTTCAGAAATGAAGTTGACAACAGTATTCCTTCGGTCCCTGGCCCCTAGAGCACAAATCGCCAGCAAAACTACAGCACACACACACACACACACACAGAGCCCAGCTAGTCATTAAAGCAGTCTGCCTTTTCACAGGTTTCCATGAAAGCCTGAACAAAAATTGGATCCGTTTCAAGAGTAACTGCATGAGTTGACATTAATGATTAGCAGAGAACTGCTGAATTCGTGAGAAGGCCAAAGTGCTCTACTGAAATTATTTTTGAAGCCCACATAGGCCTATCATCACTTAGAAAACCTTTTTATATTTAAATACTGCTAACCTAGAGGGTGTGATGGCTCAGTGTTTAAAGAGGGTGAACTAATGAACTGGAAAGCTGATAGCCTGGATTCAAGACTCGAATGCTGTGCAACGGGGTGAGCGCCCGTTACTTGCCCAGCTCTTGCCCACCTGGCTGTTTGAAAGCATGCAAATGCGAGTAGATAAATAGGTACTACTTCGGTGGGAATGTAACAGCACTCTGTGCATGCTGGTCGCATGGCCACAGGAATGGCCTCGGACAACACCGGCTCCCCTGGCTAAGCAACAGAGATGAGCGCCACCCTCTATAGAGTCCATCACTTTAACTTAGTAGCAGTTGGAGGGCAGTGGGGTCAGTGGCCTAGGGATTGCGATGGTGCTAAGAGCGAGAGCTAAAGCAAAGCAGGGGCTCAGCTGTATCCCCTGAACTGGTAGGAGGGTAGCTGAGATATATGAGTGGGTGGAGGGATCCCTAGCCAGGAGACCCAGGAGACCAGATTTGGTGGAAGGAAAGGAATGCACTGGAGCAGGGCTTTTCAACCAGTGGTACGGGTACCACCTATGGTACATTGGCACCTGGCAGGTGGTACGTGACCATCCTAGAAAAGTAGCGGGGGAGGGGAATGAGCTGAACTGATGGCAGCACTGCACAAGCCTGAGCAAGAGATGGCTGGAGCTGCAGGGCTGTCAGGGCTCAGCGGAAGCGCCAGGATCAGTGCCGCTTTCCAGCTGATCAGCACTTCTTTGGGGCTGTCAGGGCGATCCTGGTGCTTCTGCTGAGCCCAGAAGAAGCGCCGATCAGCTGGAATGTTGCAGCATCTCCAGGGTCTTGTGATTTACATTCAGATGCTTGGCAACGGATTCATATTTATGATGGTCACAGTGTCCCAGGGTCATGTGAAGTGACCAAAACCTGCTGCAACCACCCAGCAGACGGGGGGAATAAAAACCAAACACCCCCCACCCCATCACCGCTGCCAATCCTCAATAGAAATGCTCACAACAATGAAAACCTCGGACAGGAGGAAGAGCGCCGCCGGGCGGGCAGGCAGGCGTCTTGCTCGGCTGTGGCTTGGGGGCACTTTTTCAGTGCCATTGTAACTTCAAACAGTCATTAAGCGAACTTTTGTAAGTCGAGGACTACCTCTACTTTATCACTTTTTTCCTTTTTGGGGGGGGGGTCAAGTTTTTGACACCTTGCTAGGTGACTGGTGGTACTCGGATATTGCCATATCCTAAAAGTGGTACAATGGGTGAAAAGGTTGAAAAGCCCTGCACTGGAGGTCTTAGGACAGGTCAGTACATTCAGGTAGTAACAGGTATAGGATGTTTTGATGGGTGGGTGAGGTTTTTAGGGGAAGATGCCTCCCGGTGCCTGGTACCAGTGTTGTGTTTTGTCCCTCTAGGCAGCAGAGTTGAGGACTACCTGTATATTGTTATGCCATTCTCTTTTAAAAAGATGAGAATTGGCATAACAGGAATTAACTTTGCTGCCTTCTGCATACAAAATATGCGCTCTGCCTCTTAGCTATGTTACTTCCTGCTCATTCTTGCACTCGCGTATTCATGCTGTATTTGAGAAATCCCATCACGATTATCACTTGGGACACTATGTGGAATGCAGGGAGAACTGGCTGTAAGAGAACATTATAATCGCCTGGCAGATCATCTGCCATCAGGAACATGGTAAGTTGTTGAAATATAAGCAGCCACAGCTTAAGAGACTCATAGAAAAATCAAGTTGTAGGATCTGGCCTTTGTGGTCTGCAGAAAATGCTACTGGCAAAAGACTAAAGCTCTGAAAAGGGATGTTTGTGCAAGACTTCTACCAATATGTAACACTTTGTGCAAAGCCTAAGGCTGATGTGAATGTAGAAATGTAGCACAGTGTGCTGCACAAATAAAGGCATGAAATTATTCATTATGCTGAATACTGGGGAAATAGATAAGAAAGTA